CCCTTGGCCAGGGTCTGCCAGCTGCCCCTTGTGCACTCAGGGTCTGTCCGCCTGCTGTGGTCTTGCATGCCCTGGATGCTTTAGGCACCCAGTCCCAATACTTTCTGCTCTCCAAGTCACGACCTGAGCCCAGCTGCCTGACTCTGCCCCTCCTACCTGTCTGGATGAATGGGTCTATTTTAACTTCTTGGTTGTCTGACTTCCATACAGTTCAATTTTCTGTCAGTTCTGGTTGTTATTCTGTTTCTAAATTGTTGGTGTCCCTATCTTGGTTGTGCGAGGAGGCACAGTGTGTCTACGTATGCCTCCATCTTGGCCGGAAGTCCATTTGTGTTGTTTTTAAGATTTCACTTGTAAGTAAAATCCTATGGTGTTTCTCTGTCCCACTGATTTCACTTAGAATAATACCCTCAAGGTCCATTCATGTTATCACAAGCGGCAAGATTTCATTCTTTTTTAGGTCTGAGTAGTATAATACTGTGTGTGTGTGTGTGTACATATATACCACATCTTCATTAACTATTTGGTGGACACTTGGCTTGTTTCCATATCTTGCTGCTATAAATATGCTGCAGAGCACATAAGGGTACATATATTTTTGAATTAATGTTTTTGTTTTCTTTGGATATGTACCCAGAAGTGCAGTGTTTTTTAAAAATATATTTTATTGATTATGCTATTACAGAGTCCCATTTCCCCCACTTTATTCCCCTCTTCCCTGCATACCCCTTCCCACCCACATTACTCCCCTTTAGTTCATGTCCACGGGTATTACTTATAAGCTCTTTGGCTTCTAAATTTCCTACACTATTCTTATCCTCCCCCTGTCTAATTTTCTACCTACCATCTATGTTACTTATTCTCTGTACCTTTTCCCCCTCTCCCCCCACTCCCCTGTTGATTACCTTCCACGTCATCTCCATTCCTGTGTTTCTGTTCCTGTTCTAGTTGTTTGCTTAGCTTGTTTTTCTTTTAGGTGTGGTTATTAATAATTGTGTTTGCTGCCATTTTACTGTTTATATTTTTTATCTTTTTCTTAGATAAGTCCCTTTAACATTTCATATAATAAGGGCGTGGTGATGATGAACTCCTTTAACTTGACCTTATCTGGGAAGCACTTTATCTGGCCTACCATTCTAAATGAAAGCTTTGCTGGATAGAGCAATCTGGGATGTAGGTCCTTGCCTTTCATGATTTGGAATACTTCTTTCCAGCCCCTTCTTGCCTGTAAGGTTTCTTTTGAGAAATCAGCTGACAGTCTGATGGGAACTCCTTTGTGGGTGACTGTCTCCTTTTCTCTTGCTGCCTTTAGGATTTTCTCCTTCTCTTTAATCTTGGCTAATGTAATTATGATATGCCTTGGTGTGTTCCTCCTTGGGTCCAGGTTCTTTGGGACTCTCTGAGCTTTCTGGACTTCCTGGAAGTCAATTTCCTTTGCCAGATTGGGGGAGTTCTCCTTTATTATTTGTTCAAATAATTTTTCCACTTGTTGCACTTCCTCTTCTTCTTCTGGTACCACTATAATTTGGATGTTGGAACATTTAAAGATGTCCTGGAGGTTCCCAAGCCTCTCCTCATTTTTTCTGAATTCTTGTTTCTTCATTTTATGGCTGGATATTTATTTCTTCCTTGTGGTCTATACCGTTGATTTGAGTCCCACTTTTCTTCCCATCACTATTGATTCCCTGTACATTTTCCCTTATTTCACTTAGTGTAGCCTTCATTTTTTCATCTAATTTGCTACCACATTCAGCCAATTCTGTGAGCATCCTGATTACCAGTGCTTTGAACTGTGCATCTGATAGGTTGGCTATCTCTTTGTTGCTTGGTTGTATTTGTTCTGGAGCTTTGATCTGTTCTTTCATTTGGGCCATTTTTTTTTGTCTTGATGCACCTGTTACCTAGTGAGGGGTAGAGCCTTAGGTGGTCACCAGGGCAGGGCAACCCACATTGCTGTGCTGTGACACTGTATGTGGGGGAGGGGTCCAAGAGGGGACAATGGTGCTTGCTGTGCTCTCTGCCAGATTTCAGTCACTTTCCCTGCTATCCACAAGCGTAGTGGGCCCTCTGGTGCCGATTCCTGTGTGGGTGGGTTTGTGTACATTCTAGTACTCGGTGGGTGTCTCCAATGAACTCTCCTGTGAGGCTGGGAGTTTCTCTCAGCACCTCAACCCCCACAGGTGTTTTCAGTCTGTGATTTGAGGCTTTATTCTCCCCCACCATGCTCCCCCTCTTCCCCACGCTGGTGCCCTGGGTTGCACAGTCGGTCCTTCTTCCCAGCTGTTCCTCCTGGTTTATCTGTGTGCAAATGTGGGACTGCCCAGTCCGCAATCAGCCACCTTGCTGGTCCACCCGCTGCAGCCTTGCCAGCCCCCGGTTCTCCAGCTGCCACCTTGCTGTGAGTCCTCTCCATCCAGCTGCCTGTCTCTGCCTCTCCTACCGGTCTGGATGAGTGTTTCTTCTTTAACTCCTTGGTTGTCAGACTTCCATACAGTTCGATTTGGTCAGTTCTGGTTGTTTTTTTGTTTTTAAATTATTGTTGTCCTTCTTTTGGTTGTGCAAGGAGGCGCATAGTGTGTCTACCTATGCCTCCATCTTGGCGGGAAGTCCAGAAGTGGAGTGTTTTAAACTACCTTAATGTTTCTAGTTGAATAGCAAGAAGTAATGCTAGAGATGAGACCATTTCTTTCATGGATATATAGAAATAAAAAAGTCAAGTTTGTTAATACTTCAATAAATCTTGCTTAAGCAAATCTTTGATGCTGCATCCTTTTCAGATTTTGCTATTGTGTTACCTTTCAACTCCTGCTGCTTCCTTTCCCTTGCCCTCCAAAAATTAGAGAAGAGGAAATGAGTGTGTGGGCAGAATTTTTGTGTTAAGAATACCAGAGAGCTGTTCATACTGTGACCCCTGTAGAACATTTTTTTTATTTTTCAGATTGTTTTAAACTATGAGACCTCCTATTTATAATTACGCTTTGATATTTCTTGAAATCTTTGCTTTTTAATTCCAAGAATTAAAATTGATATCTCCTAATTGATGGTTTTTTATTTCATAGATTCATCTGAAAACTACATTAGGACAAAGACTTTTGAGGGCTTCTCTGCATTACATTTTGCTGCAAGTCGAGGACATTGGAAGGTTGTACAGATTCTTTTAGAAGCTGGGGCAGATCCTAATGCAACCACTTTAGAGGAAACCACACCACTGTTTGTAGGTGAGATATACTATTTATGGTACAGATGCAACTTTTTATTCTTAATTTTTTTTTTGCTGAAGGAACTAAGCTTAATCCCCCTCTCACCATGCTGTTACACTTAAAGTATGTTCTTTGGCAAATATAATACTACCACTTCTTTGATTCAGAAATCAAAAAGGTATTTTTAAAGGCTGCTTCCTTGTTTTTCACCCTGAGGTGATAGCATCTGGGAATATTTTTAAACATTTATTTAAATTTCTAAAATCTATTCTGAATTGTCATCATCATTATTATTCTCAATGTTGTTCTGAAGACCAGGTAGAGTATTTTATGTTTGCTTTTTTGCTTTTTGTTAGCATTAAAGTATTAAGATTTTATGAAAGAAGTTACCAGCTAATCCTTTAATGCCAGTTAATTTGTTGCCTATATGAATCACTATTCAGACTTCTTCAATTATGGACTATTCTTTTAATTCCATGAGGACAAAAGCCCGGTCCTAAATGGCACATTTCTAGTACCTGTCTCTTTTTTTCCCTTCCCTCCCTTTGACCTTGTCTTCAGGGACATTAAGTTGAGTGGAAGATGAGAAAATTAGGAGAATAAAATATTTGTTGAGAGTTAGTACATCTGAACCAGTTTTAGTCCTGTCACATGTAACTCATACGTTCATACATTTATTGAATGTTTCAATGTCCTTACTTATGAAATGAGAGTACTAGTACCTACGTAGTCTTTATTGGGCTGATAATAAAATATGTATGAAAGTACTTTTTTCCTCATAAACCTAAAAGTATAGATTTTTAAAATTTATATGCAGTGAACTTTATTCTTTTTAGTGTACAGTTCTATGTTTTTTATGTATGTATAAAATTGTGTAAAGGCAACAACAGTTAAAACACAAAACAATTACATCATGTCCCAAAATCTATCATACTGCCTATTTTAATCAACCTTTCCTGCCTCCGCTTGCCCTTGACAACTACTTGTCTATTTTCTTTCCAGTAGTTTGCTGTTTTGCAGAATGTCATAAACATGTGGAATATTATAACACGTAATCTCTGAGATTAATTTCTTTCACTTAACATAATGTTCTCGATATTCACATTGTTGCATATATCATTGATTTACTAGGTGATAGGCATTTTAATTGTTTTCAGTGTTTGGTGATTATGAGTAAAGTACTGCAAACTTTGAATGTAGGTTTTGTTTGAATATAAGTTTTTGTTTCTCTTGGATTAATATTTAGGATGGTTGGGTCATGTGGCCAGTGTATGTTTAACTTTGGAAAACAATATGGAAGTCTCTTTTATTACTGCTGTCATAGAAAATGATGAGTTGAGCAGAAATTTTATTTCTAAACTCTTCCAGGATTATTACAAACACAAGTAAAGTATCCTTTTAAGTGTCTCAAATTGAAGGTACATCATCAAAGTAAAACATGACATTAAGAATTCATTTAGGTTGTAAGATTTCCATGTTATTTTGTTTTTAATCATTTGCAATGGTCTCTAAGTCATATTTTAAAAGTTTTTTAAAGACTTGAAATAATGTATTTTTTTAAAAGTATAACCACAACTATAAAGTAGAGGAACTTAAGAAGACAAAGATCAGATCTGCTTTATGTACGGAATGGGGAGATCTAATATGTGACACATTAATCATTCCTAACAAGTTTGGTAAGAAACAGCTTCTGTATTTAGTGTTAAAAATAAAACAGTCTTCTCACTTACAAAAAATCAAGACAACATCAAGAAAAATGTTTTCTTGAGTCTCAGAGGCAGTCACTTATCACTTTGTGCCTCAAGGCATTCCTTGGTGAACTTCTTTCGATTGTTCAGAGTGTCCAGTGTTCAAAGCACAGGATCTGGGCTCCCTGAAGTGGTTGCTTCCTGCTTGCACACCTATCAGCAGGGCATCCTTGCAGGCATTCTGCAGGCAGTATTGTTGAAGCCCTGCAGACACCTGAGAGACCTTGATCCTCTTTGTGGTGGCCTCCATCTTCAGCTGCTCCACCAGGCACTGTAGGGTGCTCCTGCTGGCTCCAGAGGACATTCCGGCAGGTGCTGCCATTTGGAGGTTTCTTACAAAGTGGCTAGGGACTATCCTTTTGCACTCCCTCCAGTAATGTTTGAGGGTTTCAGTTGCCCCACATTTTCATCAATACTTGGTGTTGACACATTTTTCTTTTTTGTTTTTACATTTTTAATTTTTTTAATAGGGATTTGATTAAATGGTATCTCATTATGGATTTAATTTGCATTTTTCCTGATAGCTGATGATGTGTGATTATTTGCCATCCTTCCTTTTCTCCCCGGTTAGTCTTGTGTTTAGACATTTTGTTTTGAAATAATTTCAGATTTACAGAAGTGTTCAGTAAGAGTGCTAAAGGATTCTTAGATACCTTTCACCTAAATATTGTTCTTTTGCCATATTCACTTTATCATTTTATTTCTCTATACTATTTATCCATGTGATATTTAACCCTTTGAGATTAAACTGTAGATATAATTCTTCTCTACCCACAAATACTTCAATGTGAACTTCATAAAAGTAATGACATTCACTTATATAACTGCCATGATCAAAATCAATAAGTTAACATTGATACAGTGTTTTATGCACACGTCTTATACAGTTTTGCCAATTGTTCCACTAATTTCCTTTATAGCAAAAGGACATAATTCAGGATCCTATCCATGATCACTTATTATCTTTAGTTCTTATGACTCTTTAGCCTACTGTAATTTTGAAGTTTTCCAGTCTTTATGTTTTATAATTTAAAAATTTTTGACGAGTTTAGACCATTTCTTTTTAGAATGTTTTTCAATTTAGGTTTTCTGATGTTTTTTTCTTGTTAGAGTTCAGGTTATGCATTCCTGGCAGGAATACTACAAAGTGAAATATCTTAGTGCATCTTATGGGGAAGAATATGACCCATTACTGGTAATGTTAATATATAAAAGTATTTTGAATATGTGAAATGTATCACTATGAAGATATTTTGTAGAAGTCTTGATGTAATATGGTTTGAGTTTTCCATAGGGGAGATTGATTTTTTATATAAAATTTCTTTTTTTCCGACATCCAACTCATGTTGGATATTCTGTACAACGTAGTAAGCTTACACTGAGGCCCAGCTATATGCAATCTCTATTCTAGTTGCTGTCTTTAAGGAATCCATGGAGAAGTGAATGTAATGAGTTAAGTCCTGTAAAAAGAGAAAAAATGTTCAAGATATTAAAGGAGGGAAAAATAAGTCATCTTGGATGACAGAGGAAGACATCATGTGCCTCTAGAGAGCTGTATTAACAGTAATGGTTTTTGAGTAGAATGTATACCAAGCCCTGTGTCGGGTATTTTACATGGATTATTAGCTCATTCAATTTTCATCACAATTCTCTGAGATACATATACTTATTATTTTCCTTTTACAGATGGAGGACATTGTAGAAACACTATATTTAGGATCAGACAAGGTGTATTTGAGTCTTGATTCTGCTATTGTCTGTGTATTGTTTAGAATAGCATTTCCTGGATTGATTCACTGAACTATTAATAGATATTTGTTGATAAAAGGGTTTTTGATGAACATATGTTAGGAAATACTATGTACTATATTCCCTAATGTAGGAAGACAAAAACATTAGCCTTCTAGCTTAATGTGTTCACCCAGTCTGAAGTATCTTCTGTACTCTGTTATCTTATATTAGTATTTTTATAGCTCTTATCGCTGACTGCAGTTATTTTATATATTAGCTTTTTTGTTTATTGACTGTCCCTTTCACTAGAAGGAATGTTCCATGAAAACAGACATTTTATTTATTTTATTCACTGTCATAACTCTCAAACCCAGATCAGTGCCTGGTATATGGTATGCATTCAGTAAATTATTTGTTGAATGAAAGAATGAAGGTCTCTGAAGAGGCATCTTATAAAACAACACTTGTCAAAGACATAAAAATAATAAAAATAAAACATACTTGTCTTGACTCTAACTCACTGTTTTGAAATGTATTTGACCATAATCTTGTTTTTCTTTGTCAAACACAAAGAACAGTAATATTTCATGGAACTGTTTGAAAAATGCTACTTTGGTCACTTATTTTATACTTTCAAAATGTAATAGTCCCATTTATGAAATTTAGTATTGTGTTTACTTATATAGGTATATGGAGAAAATTAGAGATTTAGAGTTTTTAGTGATTTATATTTTATAATATAGTTAACTTGTAATTTTTTTATGTTAAGGAAGAGTTGCTACTGTAATTCAAATCCATGGATGACCTTTAATTACTTATTTTTAATAGTAGGATTTATTTAGTTGTTTCTGTGGCTGCAAACTTAACATTCTAGGTGTTTTGCCTTGGTTAATAACAAAAAATAAGTTGAACCAAGCAGGGTGTTTAAACCAAGGAGATATAGTTATATAGTACTTTTACATACACAAGTGTTGCATCAATTATATCAGGTCCTTGTTTGGAAGTAGATCAGTATTTTTTTAAAGTGGGGAAATTACTGTCTTAGTTTTTGTAAGAACATAATGTCAAAGACTAGACATATGGCTTTTTAGTTAGGTAATCTGGTCTCTGTCGTGTGCTCTGTTCATAAATAATATGACAAACTTGAGCAATTTTACTTTGCTTCCTGTGTCTTTCTGCTCTTTTAAATAACAGTAGCAATCCATGTTTTAATCTACAATGGAAGAGAGTCTTTTCTTAAAACAAAGTCCAGAACACTTCAAGGTTTGCAAAACTATAGATGATAATCTCTAGGTGAGAAAGAGTGGCTGGAGCAGGTGGATTTAAAATGAAAAAAGGAGACTGCCCGTCTATTATAGCTTCCTTCCCCATATACTTAATATATATTATATCAATTAAACTTGATCTTTGGAGTGATATCTTCTTTGCTGAAACTTCAGTCTGTGTTGCCCCCTTTCCCTGAGGGAAGCTATATTCACGTGCACATTGTAGTACCTGTCCCGATGGCCCAGATACTACCTAGACTGTTGCTAGGAGCTATACATATAAAACCAGAGGATCAGGGTATAAAAAATGAGTACAAAACTATGGAAACTTGCCAGATGACTGGAAGAGTCACTGACATCAGTGATGAGTGATTGAACTGAAAGTTAAATGCAGAGAGTTAAAACATTTACTGCTCCACAGTTTATAATGGCAGCATTTCCCCCCTGTATACAACTCATCAGGATTTTCATAAAAATGGTTTCAGAAGGGAACTCTTTAGTTTGATGGCAGTAAGAAATTAGAAAACCCCACAAGAAAAGGGAACTTCAGGAAACGGCTTATTTTTCCACGTGAACATTATCCTTCAAGAATATTTTTTGACTAGCATGCAATTTAAAGTTTATGTTTTAGTAAGGAGCCTGCCCCCTTATTTATTTTGCCCTCATCTCCTCTTTTCCACATTTTCTTTTCCTTGTCTCATAAATGCAAATATAGTAAATATTCTAAGGATAGACTTGTAAAATTGCTTTGGAAATAAGAATATCCTTATTTATAAATATAGCAGATTCTAAGTGAAAATCCAGCTAATTATATAGGAAATAGATTTTCTGTCTATTTTGCTGTGTATAAAACAACACTGATAAATTGGAGGCTCAAATCCAACCCAATGTGACTTCATAAAACAATTTCTGTGGGAACTGCACAGCATGCAGTTCTAGCTTTTGATGGATTATTTTTCATTTTTTGTTCTTCTGAGTCTCTGCTTATTCTGTGTAACCTTCAATGTTAAACATAGCAGTAATGTTTAATGAGAACAAAGTGTTTTATAAACAGTGTTATGTGAGACTGTCTATTTTAGTATTTAACTATAAAAATGTGTTATACTTCAGCTCATGTGGCATATCTTTTAACTCTAACTCTGCTGATGTGTTCCAAAAGTGAACAAATCACCATCAATTCTACTTTTCACTATTTTCTTGTGAAACAATCATTTATAGTTTTGTTTTTGGAGGTGCTAGGAATTGGGGGGTTAGCATTCATATACTTAATATGTATTATGTCAATTAAACTTGATCTTTGGAGTGATTTGTCAGTTTTAGATTTTTAGTAGAAAGACAAATCATCTTAAGGATTGTAACATAAACTTTTTACTTGAGGTCATATTAGTTCTTGAAAATACAGGTTTGAGTTTTCCTGGATCAAAAGTATAGCATTCACTACGTTACATTTTAAAAATGTTAGTTTTACGTTTTATTTACTTTTACCTATTTTATATGGTTTTATGTTTCTTGATGTAACTTTTTATTATTTTATAGTATACTCTTCAATGTTTTAAGACTATCTTTTTGTTCCTTAATGTAAGCAGTTAGGAAACGAAGATATTTACTATCTTTCTTATACTTACCTTCATGCAATTAAATATATTTATACAGTCTTTTTATTAGTCATGTTTGCTTGATAGGTTTAAACTTGTAGCTTTTAAAAATGAGGAAATCAGTATCTTTATATTGTTATGTACTTATTTTTCTTCCTCTCTTTCCAACTTTTGTTAGTTGTGTTATATATGCATTGTCAGAGGAGTTAACAATTTGAATCCTGTTCTGGCATTTTAATCCCTTCTTTTCATTTTATTCTTAGCTGTATGGTTAAATAGCTCCGAAGTTTACCACCAGTTATTTTGCCATGATTTTTCTAGTCTTGCTTGGTTAACTAAATTCTACCTTTAGTAGAGATCTCTAAAAGGACCTATGGAAATAATATTCCCTGAGTTCTTGCCTCTTCATAATTGAATAATGATTTTATATTTGGTTTTATACAGAAGTTTGATTAGGTATATAATTTTTAATGGTAATATATTATGTTCTGGAATTAAAGTTTAAGACCAACCTAATTTGCTTCTTTTTTTGTGTGTGTGACAGTATTTTTCCATGTCTGTTCTGTATCAGTTTTCTCTGAGACATGGTATACCCTCTCAACATATAGATTCAGATTTTCTTTATTTTACTAAATCTTTCTGGAATTATACCTTTAAATATTTGTTCTGTTATTATGAATATCTTCTTGGGCTCTAGTTATTCTTATGCTGGA